ACGTCTTAAAACGGCTAAAGTCTTGTTATCGAAAAGCTGTCAATAAAACTTTCAAGAGACGAAACGAACGAAAGGGTCGCCAACAAAGTAAATGAGTCTCGGAGGAGTTACCAGCTCCATAGATGGAGAACTGAACTATGAATTAACAGCTACGAAAGACATTACATGGATAATTTGTCGCGCAGTGTGAAATAAAAAGCCTGAAATCACCCGGTATGTGCCCCAAAAAAAAGTCCCAATGTAGTTATTCGATATTGCAGTTATTTCGACAATCTCAAAAAAAAAAAAAAAAAAGTTCCAATGCGGTTAATCGATTTTGCTGTCATGCATTTAAACACAAGCACATACCTGATGATTGTTCACTGAGATCAGTATTGATGCAAGCAACGTTTGCACTTCTGACTGCACGTTTATAGTGGACGAACCATTCATACACAAGTCACGCTTCATCAGAAGGACTAATTTTTGCAACGACAGTGCATCCTGGAATCAGCTTAGCACCTTACTTCCCCAAAACAGTATTCAGCAAAATAATTCACCGATCCACTATAATCCAATCACTGCAATTCAAAAACAGCTCCTCCCGAACATCATCGCCAGAGCTATTTCCCGAATCATTCGCCAAAAGAAACAATGTTTTGCGTCTTATATCACTTAAGCATTTAGTTTGCTTAGCTGCAATTCATAGACAGCTTTCCAATAATGCAGCTTGTAATTACTTTGACCAATGCTGCTTCGTCTGCTGATCTATGCACTGGCAAACCTGGCGTTCGGGGAAGCACCAGTTCAGCAATTTTCCCAAAAAAAAAAAGCAATTAGCAAAGGTCTGGCAGTTCTAATATAACAATAATAATGGTGTGTGTTAAGCATCATTAATTTATCCCAATAATGACATTCTTGGGCCAAGATGGCGTTATCTTACTGATTAGGAGGAATCCCCAGTCAACAAGTTATTATCCGACAAAAATCACTCAAAAACTGCAGGAAAACGAATCTCTGACTAGGTTTTCTTAGAGTAACGCTACTTCAGACTCGCTGTAGAGCATAATGAAAAGTATAATTAGTTCTACGGCAAAATAATTTGTCAAAAATACACAAACCTTATAAATCGAACTTTCT